GTGACTGTGTGTGTGTGTGTGTACACAAGCGGGGCAGCAGGCAGACACGGAATTTCTAGTCTCTTCAAAGTAACCAGAGCGTGACTTTGGGGGTCTACCTACGAGCCAGCTGCCCCAAGTATTCAAAGTAACTACTTGGAGTCACGTATCCCAGAGGTTTTGGTCATGCCTTAGAGGGGGTTCAAGTTGAAAGGCGGAAGGTGGGGACGGGAGAGGCAGAGACTGCGAGAGCTCGGAGGGCGGAACCCAGCGCGCAGGTCTCCGCGGTGCGGCGCAGAGGGGCTGACCCTGGCGTGCGAGGCTGGAGCGCCCGGGGGCAGGCTCCACCGTCTGGAGGCGGTTCTGGGAGTGGGGGGTGACTGAGACCGGGCAAGAGACCTAAGGGCGCCACGGCAGCCCCGGAGCAGACGCGCCAACCTGGGGGTCTCCCCGAGGGCGCGGTGCGGGCCGCCCCGCGGGCGGGTCTGGTGTGGAGACGCTGCACGGTCCAGACGGGCAGCTTCTCGGGCCTCCCCAAGCACGACCCACACTGGCCGTGAGTCTGAACCTCCCGCCGGCCGCAAGTGCTCGGCCCCAGGCCCCAGACTCACCGCGCGGCTTCGGACAGCGCCTCAGCTGCGGCCGCCTGAGCCGGTATCGCCGCTTCAAGCCCCCAGCCCCACCACCCGCCTTCCCCCTCGGTCCTCTGGGCCCGGGAGAGGAGGGCGGGCTCGAGAGCCTGACAACCAATCAGATGGCGGGGAACAAAGACGGGCAGGAACATTCACCAATAATCCTGCAAAAGTGTAGCTTCGGGACCGGCTTCTGGCGGGGCGGGGATTGTTCAAATAGACAAAACCCGCGGCCAGTGGCAGGCGAAAGGAGCTTAGGAATATTCCGGAGAACCAATCAGTTGTGAGTTGATTTCGTTCACTTCCACGCACACATCCTGTACGTCGCTACTACGATTCCCCTCCGTAGGAGTTGTGACGGAGTGGAGCCCCCTGTCCAGGGACTGCGCGCACCTGTCGGAAGAGCTGGGCAGAGGTTGGGAACCGCGCCCGAGGAGATGCAGAGAAGGGTGGCTGACGCCCTCGAATCACTGCAGACGACATACTGTCCTGCGAACCCGTTTACTGTGGGACTCGTGCTTTCTCCTTTGTAAAATTCAATGGGCACTTGAAAGTTCTCGTTTTATTCTCATTACCCCCAGGTTGCCTTACTTGTCAGGTCATTCTCGAGAGACGATTACCAAGAAGCTACTTTAAATATTTTAAGGCAAAATCCTTTGAAACAAAATCTTCCAAACAGTCAATAGCCGGAGCTGTAGATGTAGGTCAGTCAGTTGAGTGCTTGCCCAACGTGCGTGAAAGTTGTGAATTCAATCCCCAGCACCGCATGCAGGACAGGCCTGTAACCTCAACACTTGGGAGGTGGAGGTTGGAGGATCAGGTACTCAAGGTCGGGGCTAGAGAGAAGCCTCAGCGGTTAAGAGCATTGGCTGCGCTTCCAGATAACTCGCGCTCAGATGATGACGCACAACTCTTTCTAACTCCAGTTCCAGGGGAACTTTTCCCTGTGCTGGTGCGTAGTTGTGCATGCAGGCAATATATATATATATATATATATATATATATAAGTCTTCAGGGGCTAGAGAGATGACTTGGAGGTTAAGAGCACTGACTGTTCTTCCAGGAGTCCAGAGTTCAATTCGCAGCACCCACATGACGATATAACGGGATCCGATGCCCTCTTCAGGTGTGCAGGCTGGCAAAGCACCCATATACATTAAATAAAAATAAATAATAAATAATTCTTTAAAAAATCTCAGGTGATGCCGGGCGTTGGTGGCGCACGCCTTTAATCCCAGCACTCGGGAGGCAGAGGCAGGCGGATCTCTGTGAGTTCGAGACCAGCCTGGACTACCAAGCGAGTTCCAGGACAGCCTCCAAAGCCACAGAGAAACACTGTCTCGAAAAACCAAAAAAAAAAAAAAAAAATCTCAGGTGAAATTTATGCACATCTTTTTTGTGCAACCTTGTTTTGTTTTTTTTTCTAGACAGGGTTTCTCTGCGTAATAGTTCTTGCTGTTCTGGAACTCGACTTGTAGACCAGGCTGGTCTTGAACTCACTGAGATCCGCCTGCCTCTGCCTCCCGAGTGCTGGGATTAAAGGTGTGCGCCACCACCGTCCAGCATAATCTTTATTTTTTTATATCAATGTTGTGATAAACATTGAAAATTTCTAAATAGCTTGAATTAGGAATTTGAATAAATTATTAAATACATTAATAACAGCATTAACATGTGAAGCTATTAATAATGATAATGCAGATGAATATTTCCTAATAAGGTAAAGGTTCCTAATTAGGTTTTTAAATTTTATGTTTTTAAATAAAAAAACAAACAAATATACAAACTACAGGTTATACTACAATAGTACCCTTTCTAAAACATTGATACATATCTTAGGTGTCAACTGGAGAAATGTCACTGGGCTTGGTGGCCCATGCCTGGACAAATTAATCTTAACTCGTTAAACAATAAAAGACTCTTTGCTTTTGCATCGGAATGGGTCTCTTGGTGATTTTGGGGTTCAGAATTTGGGCACAACAAACCCTGTCTACACATATGTGTGTTTGACTTTTCTCCAATTTAACATATATATCAATGTTTTTTCATTTAAAAGCATTTTTTACTAATTGGGAGCCTTCACCTTATTTGCAAATGTTTATGCACCTGTAGTCCTGGCACTTGTACAGCTGAAGGGCGGGGGGGGTCTTGAGTTCCAGGATACAGTTGATGCTGTGTCAAAAAGTAAGAGAGGAGCCGGGCGGTGGTGGTGGTACACAACTTTAATCCCAGCACTCAGGAGACAGAGACAGGCGGATCTCTGTGAGCTCAAGGTCAGCCTGGTCTACTAAGCAGGGCCATCAAGATGGCCCAGGATGAAGGCACTTGCCACCAAATCTGAAGACCTGAGTTCAAACCCCAGAACTCACATGGTGGATGGAGAGACCCTAACCCTGCAAGCTGTCCTCAGCTAGCACAGGTGCACCGCCTCCACAAATAAACATTTGGAAGAGAAAAATAACATTAGTTTAAAATATAAAACTTGAAATAAGGAGTGGAGAGATGGCTCATTGGTACTGGCTGTTCTTTCAGAGTACTCGGTTCAGATCCCATATCAGGAAACTCACAGCAGCCTGCTAATTGTAGGCTTGGGATGTAGCTCGGATGGTAGATTACCTACCCAGTGTGCAGAATCCTTGGCACATCAAACCAAGTGTGTGGGTGAGTGCTTATAACCTTAGCACTCAGGGCATTGGATAAAGTTTAAGGAGGTGGGGAAGGGTCTAGGCCCTGCCCTATATGAAATGACAGACTATGGACACCCCCATGGAGGGCCTCACCCTCCCTGGGGGAATGAGGGGATAACGGGGGGTGGGGTGGGGGGGTGGAGGGAGGGCACGGGAGGAGGGGAGGGAAAGGGAGAGGGACCTGGAACTGACTTGTGAAGCAACCTTGTTTCTTATCTAAATTTAAACTGGAAAAAAAAAGTTTAAGGAGGGCTCAGAGTTTCAAGGTTATTATGGGCTATATTGCCTGTTCCAGGCCACCCTGGGCTACATAGGCCCCCATCCTTTTATTATTGAATTTTATGTGAATGGGTGTTATGCCTACATGTACATCTACTGGGATCTTCTTGCATGAATGCAAACCATGTGTGTGCCTGTTGCCCTTAGAGTCCAGAAGAGGCTACAAGGTCCCCTGGAATTGGATTTAAAGGTGGTTGTGAGCTGCCTTCTGGGTGCTGAGAATTGAATCCAGGTTCTCTGGAAAGGCAGACACTGCTCTTAATCACTGAACCATCTCTCTATCCCTGCCTGGCCCTGTTTCCAAATAAAGAAACAAAAAAATCAGCTGGGTGTTTGTGGTGCATGCCTTTGGGAGGCAGAGGCAGGCGGATATCTGTGAGTTCAAGGTCAGCCTGGTCTACAGAGTGAGTTCCAGGACAGCCTCCAAAGTAACATAGAGAAACCATCTAGAAAAACCAAACCAAACCAAACCAAAACAAACAGTATATCTTGTAGGTCTTTGCATTCTAGTACACAGAACACTTCTAAGTTTTTTTCTTATAGCTATATATATCTATTCCATAATATTGCAACGTATTTCTTTTCCCCGGATCTCTGTTTATGAACTTTTTCTTTTATTTTCTCTCTCCTTCCCTTCCATTTGATGTTCCATTTCTTCTCCTTTCCCTTTCCTTCCCTCTTCCCCCTTCCTTTTTTTTTCTCGTTTTTCTTAAGACGAGGTCTCAAGCCAGTGGTTGGTGGCGCACGCCTTTAATCCCAGCACTCTAGAGGCAGAGGCAGGCGGATCTCTGTGAGTTCAAGGCCAGCCTGTTCTCCAGGGCGAATTCCAGGACAGGCTCCAAAGCTACAGAGAAACCCTGTCTTAAAAAACAAAAACAAACATGCCGAGCGTTAATCCCAGCACTTGGGAGGCAGAGGCAGGCGGATCTCTGTGAGTTCGAGGCCAGCCTGGTCTACAAGAGCTAGTTCCAGGACAGCCTCCAAAACAATACAGAGAAACCCTGTCTCGAAAAACCAACCAAACAAACAAACAAAAAAAACCAAAAACAGGGTCTCATGCAGCTTGGGCTGGCCTCGAACTTACTATATTATAAGGGATGTCCTTGAACTTTCTTCCAAGTTCTAGAATCACAGATATGCACCACCAGGCTCAGCTCGCACACAATATTTTCAACGTAGGATTTATTGGGGGTAACCATCCCCATCACAATGAGTTTTAAACGGTAAGCGAGCAGTCAAGTACATCGGCAATCGACACGCCCTGAAATTCTAGGCGTGCTAAACAAATCGTTTTCGTGACTCTTGCTTTTAGTTCTTTTGTTGAACCTGGGCTCTGGCCTTTGAGCACGCCCCTCTCCGACCACGCCCCTTTTCTCCCGGCCCTGCCCGCCCCAAGCCTGGGTTTCCCGGCCGGTCACTTGAGGCCGCTGCACAAGATGGCAGCGCCGGCGGCCCGGTGGAGGCCGCGGGCTTTGGCGAGTTAATGAGTTGTGGTGCGGGACAGGGAACCCCCCAGGCCTCGCACAGGTGACAGGTGGTCGGGGCAGTGGCGCCCGCCCCGTGGGGGTGCATGGCCTGCTCTCTGCTGCCCCCTGTTTTTACTGCCTCCCAAGCCCGGTCCCGGGGCGGAACCAAAGAAAGGTCAGGCCAGGCTGCCCCGCCTGTCTTAGTCCTGGGGCGGTCCCCGTGAGTGGCTCACTTTTAGAATTGACTTCAGCCACGTGTAGCTCCCATGGCTGCGTTGCAGGCCCCGGGAGAGAAGATTAATATCCAGGCCGGAGAGTCGACCAAGGTCGGGGACAGGGACCCGCTGGGACACGACTGGCCCGAGCAGGACAGGCTTCCACAGCGTTCCTGGAGACAGAAGTGCGCCTCCTACGTGTTGGCCCTGAGGCCCTGGAGCTTCAGTGCCTCACTCACCCCGGTGGCTCTGGGCAGTGCCTTGGCCTACAGATCCCAGGGTGTCCTGGATCCCAGGCTGTTGGTGGGTTGTGCAGTGGCTGTCCTGGCTGTGCACGGGGCCGGCAATTTGGTCAACACTTACTATGACTTTTCCAAGGGCATTGATCACAAAAAGAGTGATGACAGGACTCTGGTGGACCGGATCTTGGAGCCCCAGGATGTTGTCCGGTTTGGAGTCTTCCTCTACACTTTGGGCTGTGTCTGTGCGGCTTGCCTCTACTGCCTGTCCACTCTGAGACTGGAGCACTTGGCTCTCATCTACTTTGGAGGCCTGTCTGGCTCCTTTCTCTACACAGGAGGTAAGAATTGGTCAGTTTCCTGCTCTAAGGTCCCAATTGCCTGAACTGGAAACTGCTTCTTTACATTGGAATTATAGAAGTGTCAAAGACACTTTACTAAGCTAGGCCGCTTGACTGGAAATCCAAAGTGTGTCCTTTGACAACCTTATGTTGTGAAGACCCGGATTTGGCATCGGATTATGAACATTACTCAACAGCTGGAGACATGACTTATAGCCTTAAAGATCTCTTACTTCCGGGGGCTGGAGAGATGGCTCCGTGGTTAAGAGCACTGGCTGCCCTTTCCAGAGGTCTTGAGTTCAATTCCCAGCACCCACATGGTGTCTCACAACCATCTATAATGTTCTCTTCTGGTGTGCAGGCGTGTATTTAGATAGCACTCATATACCTAGAATACCTAAATAAATAAATCTTACACTTACCTGGTAGTTCACAAAGTGACCCTCCTAGAGGTGGCCTTAACCATTGCACTCTAGATGTGCTGAGCAGACCCAAATGCAGGAAACTAGATTGCAAGAGAGAGATCGAGAGATCGATCTTATTGTACTTGCAGAGGAACCCTGCTCAGTTCCCAGCACCCGGGCACCCTACAAACATACTTGACTTCAGCTTCAGGGGGTCCCACACCCTTTTGGGGTCTCACATATGCACAGTGAGACACATATAAATCTAAAAAGACGAAAACAACATAGCGTGGGCTGGCAGAATGGCTCAGTGGATAAAGACACCTCCTGCCAAGCCTGATGACTTGAGTGTGATCTCCAGGACCCACAAGGTGAAGGAGAGAACCAACTTCCAAAAGCTGTCTTAAAAACCTCTCTGGCTCATGGGCATCCACTTGAAGTAAGAAAGTCTACCATGTTATAAGAAAGCATAGTAATTCCCAGCACTCGGGAGGCAGAGGCAGGCAGATCTCTGTGAGTTCGAGGCTAGCCTGGTCTACAAGAGCTAGTTCCAGGACAGGCTCCAAAACAATACAGAGAAACCCTGTCTCGAAAAACCAAAAAAAAAAAAAAAAAAAAAAAAAAAAAAAGAAAGAAAGAAAGCATAGTAATAACCATGTAATCCATTGACACAGGCATTTCATTTTTCTTTTCGTCATCTTCCATTTTATTCTCTTGGGACCACTGTGCATCTGGTGCACCCTTAACTGAAGTGTGACTCGGTACATAACTGGGGGTAAGAGGTGGTGCGGGGACAGGGCAGACCAGGGGACACTGATGGCTATTTTAATTTGGCAGGGAGCTCACTAAGGAGGTGACACCTGAGCTAGGCTGAAGTGAGACACGATGGGTTTGGCGTGTGGATGTCTGGGAGTAGAACTCTAGGTATGAGGGAACTACGATGACTTTGAGGAAGGGAGGAAACCCCCTGTGCTCATACGGGGGAGGTAGTCCAGGTAGCTGGGGGAAGAGGGCGTGTCTGGGGAGGGTGGGAGACTCACAGACCGCAGAGGCAGGTCCTCCCTTTGGGCCTCTGGATGATAAAGCGCAGGGACCGTTGCTGGGCTGCCCACAGCAGTGTGACGTCATGGCTGGAAAGAGTCTCTCTGGCTATGGCAGATGGTGAGTAGGGTGGACGTCAGAGGCCCTGAGCAGTTCACAAAAGGTGTTTGGTGGCTTGCACCGGAGAGGCAGGTTCTGAACAGACTTTGGAGGTAGACATTGTTTGCCAGTAGATTGGATCTGAGGTAGGGATACCACAAATTAATTTTAACTCAGGGGTTGGCCTGAGGCACTGGAAGGGTGCAGTTGATGTTATCGTGCCAGATGGGAGAAAGGCAAGGCTAGAATGGCTGTTTTTGTTTTTTTTCTTTTGGGGCGGGGAGTCAGGAGATCCACTTTGGACATCTTAATATTAGAGCTCCAAGCGGAGAGATGTGAGCTGGGTAGTGGGGTACATGGAGGAGGCCCGGGCTGGAGAGACGGGTGTGTGTGTGGGGGCCGCTGGCTCGTAGATGAGGAAGTAGAGTTGGTGAGAGAGCACAGAGGACCAGCTCTGTCCCGGAGGAGGGGAGGGGAGGACCACGCAAAGGACACAGAAAGAGTGGGAACAAAGTCAAGAGACTGCCCAGCAGCCACTTGTAAATTTAGGTCAGTTAAGAAAGTTGAGGCAGGGGCAGGCAGACCTCTGTGAGTTTGAGGCCAGATTGGTCTGTATTGTGAGTTCCAGGTTCCACCTTGTCTCAAGACAAAGGAACAGAAAGTTTGACAGGCTGAGTGCGGTTGTCCACACCTGTAATGCCCACACTGGGAGACGGATCAGGAAGGTCTGTACAAGTCTACATAGTGAGACTCTGTCTCAAAAAAAAAAGTTTGATAAGGTGGTGGTGAAGGGGAGAGGCCTTCTGTTAGCCAGTTTTCCGTTACTGTAACAAAGTACCCGAGTTAATCAACTTAAAATGAGGAAAAGCTTGTTTGATTTTAAAGGCTTTAATTTGTGGTTGATTGACCTGTGGCGTTTTGGTCTTTGGCAAGGTAGTACATGTGGCAGGAAGCCATAGCTGAGGAAGTCCTTTTATCTTGGGTCTGGGATTGAATAGAGAAAGAGGTGGGCCACCTCGGGTCCCTGTGTCTCCTCCAAGTGCACACCCCAGTGACTAGAAGGCCGCCTACTAAGGCTCCACTCTTCTCTAACATTCTACCACTGGCCGAGGGATGGCTCAGCACCAAGTTTGACTTCCAGCACCACGTCAGTCAGACCACTTGGAGCCACCACTGTAACTCTAGCTCCACAGGATCCAGTATCTTCTGGTCTCCACGGATAGCTGCACACGTGTCCCATCCACCCTCACAGACACGTGCACATAGATAAAAATGATGTTAAAGTATCCCACCGGCCCAGGGGCCAACTAGCTCTTCAATACACAACCCTTGGGAACTCTCCTCCAGACCAAGGCCTTCTCCTTATTTAAGTGACATTTTAACCAAGACTTGAAAGAAACAAAACCGGCCCTGACGGAAGGGCCGGAAGTGCAAAGGTCACCTCCCGGTGTAGTCCAGAGGGAGCACAAGGCACAGGTGGTGGGCGTCAGTCTGCAGCCAGAACACGCTGAGGTCTGTTTCCGCTGCTCTCGGGTTCCCACCGTGCAGCCTCCAGACAGAGTCCTGTCTCTTCTTCCCTCGGCTCCTTGGGGATTGCAGCCAGGCTCGCTTGTTGAGCTGGTGACTCTCACACTGTAGGCTCGGAAACTCCAGGCTCCTATCTGACGCCTTTTGGGCCGTAGATGCTGGGGACTGGGCAGCACCTAGTGCTCTGCTCTGTGTGGGCCTCACCTGTGAACCACACCCCTGCCACACCCAGCTCTTGGTCACTCCTAGGAACACGTCTCAAGTCAAATTCCTGGTAATCTCTCCAAGGATATTTGCCACCTACATTTTCTCATTTTACTCAGTGGTCTTTTTTTCTTCTCTCTTTTTTTTGTTTTGTTTTGTTTTTTTGAGACAGGGTTTCTCTGTGGCTTTGGAGGCTGTCCTGAAACTTGCTTGGTAGTCCAGGCTGGTCTCGAATTCACAGAGATCCGCCTGCCTCTGCCTCCTGAGTGCTGGGATTAAAGCGTGCGCCACCAACGCCCGCTGACTGAACTTTTCTTATATCTGGCACCAGCAAGTTGTAGTTCTGTCAAAAATCCGCCTGAGATCTGGCCATTTCACCCCATGTTCTGCCTCCACCATGACCCCTTCCCTGGAGTATTGTAGAAGCTCCTAATGGTCTCTCTGCATCTGCCCTCATCCCTTTCAGACTGTTGCCAGATCATCACCCACAGTAACCCTGCTAGTGGAAGGTAGCTGGCAACTCTCTGTTTAACACTCTTCAGTGGCTCCCACCTCATTCAGAGGAAAGCCAAGTCTTTATAGTGACAGCCAGGACACCACATACCCCTGGCCTTCCCAGCTCTAACCTGTCCTGGTCTTCCTCTTGGACCTGGAATATCAAGGTATGTACTTTACAGGTGCCAGTCTCTGTTTGGAATGACTTTCCCATCTCTGTGTGGCTCACTCTAATCTCCCATGTCACCTTCTTTGGGAGGTCTTGATTTCTGTCTTATTTAAAATTATACGATTAGCCAGGTGATGGTTCATGTCTATAATCCCAGCAGAGGAAGCAGAGGCAGCCTGGGCTTCCAAGTGACCCCAACACAGTTCAGAAAAGGTCGAGTGTGATAGAGGAAGGCATGCACATGTACAACAGTGAGCACAACTGCATATGTGTATGTAACACATGCTACACATGCAAGTTAAAGTACTCATGTAGTGAGCAACTAAGATTGGCATGTATTGAGACAATCCCACTTGTCTTTTTTAATATTTATTTTTACTGTATGTGCACATGTGTTTTGCCTGCATGTATGTATACATGTACACCAGGTATGTGCAGGTTCCTACAGAATCAGAAGAGCATCAGATCCCCGGAAAGTGGAGTTACAGGCTGTTGTGAGCTGCCCTGTGGGTGCTGGGACCTGGACCTAGGTCCTCTGGAAGAGCAGCCAGTGTTCCTAACCACTTAGATATCTCTCCAGTCCTATAGATTTTCTTTCTTTCTCTCTCTCTCTCTCTCTCTCTCTCTCTCTCTCTCTCTCTCTCTCTCTCTCTCTCTCTCTCTCTTTTATCTGAGACTAAGTTTCTGTGTAGCCCTGGCTGTCCTGGAACTCACTCTATATAGTTCAGGCTGACCACAGTCTCAAACTCAGAGATCTGCCTGTCTTTTTTTTTTTTTCAAGGCAGAGTTTCTCTGTGGCCTTGGAGGCTGTCCTGGAACTAGCTCTAGCTCTTGTAGACCAAGCTGGTCTTTAACTCACAGAGATCTGCCTGCCTCTACCTCCCGAGTGCTGGGATTAAATGTGTGCACCACCACCACCACCACCACCACCAGAGCCTGCCTGTCTCAAGAGTGCTGGGATTAAAGGTGTGTACCATGACTGCCTATCTTTAGATTTCCTTTTAACATTGGCTTTTACTGGTATAGAATTGACATGCAGTGAAGTGTGTTTGTTTCATATTAGACAAAATAGGGGAATTGTGGTGATATATTATTTATGACTTAATAAAGATTGCCTGAAGTATTAGAATGCAAAGCCAGCCACACTAGTTGGCTATAGAAGCTGGGCAGTGGTGGCACACACCTTTAAACCCAGGACTCAGGGGACAAAGGCAGATGGATCTATGTGAGTTCAAGGCCACCCAGGGTTACATTAGAGCGAATCAATCTAAAAGAGAAAGAGCTCACACAAAGGAGATCTCAGCACTTGGGATTCCCCGCCTTTAACCCCAGCTCTAGAGAGGGATGTAAAATAGGAACGGGGCATTCAGTATTCAGTCTCAGAGATTTATTCTCCAGCCATACTGAGGACAGGGCAGCCCTTTCTGCCTGAGGTGGAGGTAAGAGCTGGTGGCTGGCTGCTTTGCTTCCCTGATCTGTCAGGCAATCTTTATTAAGTCATACATAATATATCACCACACTTGATGGATGTGATGAACATTCGTAGTCCCTGCATTTCCATTACTCCCAGGACTTCCTTGGGCTCTTCACACCTTCCCCATACATCTCCATCTAGGCACAGGTAACTGCTCTTCTAGTTTCTTTCACTCAGATTCTGTGAGGGCTAGAGCACCATGTAGAGAAACCCATTCTGTATGGACTACTTGTGACTTTGCTTATTGCAATATGAACTATGTTTTTGTTGTTTTAGGGTTTAGTTTATTTTGTTTTGTTGTTTTGAAACAAGGTCTCTCTATATGGCCCTGACTAGCCTGGAATTCACTATGTAGGCCAGGCTGGCTTCCAACTCACAGAGATCCACCTGCCTCTGCATCCCAAGGGCTGGGATTAAAGGTGTGGGCTGCCACGTCTGGCCTCAACATGATCACTTTGAGTCTGGCTTCCTTTGCCCAGTGCGATGTTTTTGAAGCTCACCGTGTTGTCACGCATGTCAGCAGCTCCTTTTTGTTGTTGAACAACATCTGTTGAGACATACCCCACTGTGTTCTGCTCACCTGTTCAGGGACCTTTGGGTTGTAGCTGTGCCTTTCTATTGTGACTGAGCGTTCATGTTCAAGTCTTTTTATGAGTATTTGTTTTCATTTCTCTTGAGTAAATGCCTGGAAATGAAACTGTTGTGACCTCTACTGGGTGACGTTTAACTCTACAAAGAGCTGCCAACCCCTTTCAGGAGTACTTGTGTTGCTCATATTCCCACAGCGGCATAAGACTCTGGCGCTGTGCCTTTGCCAACTTCCTCCCTCTTTGTAGCCAGGCTGGCTAGAAACTCATGATCGTCCTGCCTCTGTTTTCCAGGTGCTAGTATTACAGCCATGCACTACCCCCTGGCCCTTGCCAACTTTTTGATGTAGTCTTAACAGATTAATTCTGGCTGCTGTGTGGAGAAGCGTCCAGCACTGTACTTCACTGTGCTGGCTCCTTCAGAGCGGGGTGTTGGGAGGGGTGGGAATGGTTAAACAGAGTCCCATGTGGGTCACATCTCTGAGTCAGGAGGGTTAGGGCCTTGTCTTACATAGAGAGCTTCTCTCTCTCCCCAAAGGCTCTGTTGTTTTCTTGCATCAGATAAACTCAAGATTATAAGGCCTTTCTCCTTCCTTGAGTCGGTTCGTGCTTGGCTTTGCTGGAGGAGCTGCTTAAGGTGGGGTCCCAGGTTTCTGTTGTGATTTCTGTTTTGCTTTGCTTTGTTTTGGAGCTTGAATACAGTTTTATTAGAGTCAGAGGGAAGATCACCAGGGGAAAGCAAGCTGCAGATCTCTAGCTGCTGGGAGAAGGGAGATGGAGAAGAGAAAGGAAAATCATACCTTTTGTAATAGAGGCAGGCAAACAGCCACGTAGTGGAAAGTTGGGGGCTGCAGAGGAGTGAGAGAGCCCAGAGTGTCTGGGGAAGCATGCTCACGACTGAGGCTCCATAGGCAGCTGCCTCAGTCACTTTTAGCAGAAGGAGGGGTCTTTGGATCACTTCTTCCTCGTCCAGAGTCCTGTTGTGGTGTGTAGGTCAGTGAATGCAAGTGAAAAGTGGGGGAGCATTGTGCTAGCCTGGCCGGGGGAGGAGGCTTCCTGAATACCTGTGGTGTTCAGGGGTGGGGGGGAGTCGGGGGTGGGCTCATTAGTTCAGGGCTGGTGTTCTCTCAAGGGAACGGCCTCCTGGGCACATGTCCTCAGATAACCAAGTCATGGACACGCAGTGTGGCTGTGTGGAATCAGCTTCCTGGCTCTGGGGAAACTGAGGGGTCATGCCTGTGATGCCTTGTGGCATGTTCAAAACCAGGGCTGTTCCACTTGGTGCCGGAGACCCACAACTGCTTCTGGAATGTGAAATTGGCCAGCTCTTGGTCCTTGGCTCCTGTGATTTTAGATCCCCTGCAGATCATTGTCATCTGCCATTTTGGACTGGTTAAAATGTGATCAGATACTCTTGAGGCCAGACCTTACAGCATCACTAGATCCAAAGGCTTCCCAGCTGCTGTAGCTGTCAAAGTTTGGCTCATCTCTCCCGACACCTCCCACCGCTTTACATGGCGTTATGGTTCCAGTCTGGGTGGGAAGTCCTCTTGACCTCCTTACCTCAGTTTGAGGTTAGGGTGTTTGTTACTATGCCCTGTGCTCAGTTCAGTCCTAGTGCCAAGTACTGGGGAGCCAGATGCTGGGACTTTGAGTCAAAGGACACAGGATGTTGAGGGTTTGAGTGTATGTTGGGAGGAAGGGCAAGCCCAGAGTTTTAAAGGAGCCCTGGAATGGAGTGGGAGGTTCTCACACGATCAAGAGCCACCTAGGAAGGTAGGAAGGGGGTGCAGTATCCAGAGTCACATGACCCTCACTTGGACCTGGGATGAGTGTGGTGCTGGATCTTGAGGGGGCTGGACGGAGGGGCTGTAGGCAAGCCATGGAGCAGAATGGTCGCCAGGGATTGAGCTGGTTTTGAAGGGAACCACGGGCAGAACCCTGACTGATAACTTTCACTGTCTTCCTCATCACTTGGGTGGCAGTTTCTTCATATGCAGTGCATAGGTTGTGAAATGCCGTGGTGTGTCACTGGGTCTTTCCAGGCGGCAGGTAGGATGGATGTCCGCCCTGTGGAGCTGGGGAAGGAGGGCAGAAGAGCTTTCTGGTCTAATGTAGAGAGCTGTCTTTCGGGGCTGCAGTCGGAGCCAGGCGAGCAGCCCGAGGGAGGTTCATACCTGAGAGGGGGAGTGTGGATAAAGAAAGGCGAGCTAAAGATGGTAAAGGAAAAGACGAAGACACAGAAATACAATCAGGAGGGCCAATCAGTCAATACTGAAATGCCCGAGCTTATTTTTCACCGCTCTTCCATACCTCAGCCCAAAGGGGAACATAGTAACGTGTGTATGGGGCAAACAGACTTTTGCTGTTTTCTCCTTAGATTCGACTTCTTGCAACCTGGCCTTGAGGGTCAGGAGCACTTACTGAGGACAGTTTTGAACTCTCTGCCCTTGAGCCAGGATGGAGTGCAGCCGTCTTATGGGCACCGCAAGTCTAATGTAGTGACTCAAAGCCTTTCACATGCTCTTGGGCTCTTGTCATCTCTGTGTACTGGGGAGCTCAGGGCTCTTTGTGGCAGAAACTGGTTTTAGGGACAAAACCTAAAAGGCAAACTTGGCAGGTACCTGGCGGTTGAGCCCAGAACCCTGAGTCTGTGTCGGGTCATTTGGGGTAAGTGGTTATCCTCACAGCCTCTCGGTGGACACGGTCATCTCCTGGACAGTCCCTCAGTGTCCAGCCCCTGGCTCACTGCCTCTCTGGCTTTTCTGGCTGCAGGAATTGGATTCAAGTATGTGGCACTGGGAGACCTCGTCATCCTCATCACTTTCGGCCCACTGGCTGTGATGTTCGCCTATGCTGTCCAGGTGGGGTCCTTGGCCGTCTTCCCGCTGGTCTATGCCATCCCTCTGGCCCTCAGCACAGAGGCCATTCTCCATTCCAACAACACCAGGGACATGGAGTCTGACCAGGAGGCCGGCATTGTCACGCTGGCCATCCTCATCGGGCCCACCTTCTCCTATGTGCTCTACAACACGCTGCTCTTTCTGCCCTACCTGATCTTCAGCATCCTGGCCACGCACTGCAGCATCAGCCTGGCGCTGCCCCTGCTCACCATCCCCATGGCCTTCTCCCTTGAGAGGCAGTTCCGCAGCCAGGCCTTCAACAAGCTGCCCCAGAGGACAGCCAAGCTCAACCTCCTGCTGGGGCTTTTCTACGTTTTTGGCATCATCCTGGCACCAGCAGGCAGTCTGCCCAGACTCTGAGGAGACAGCGGCTCCCACCACAGCGCAGCTCCTCCTTAGAATGTACAGAAGCAGAGACCGAGAGGGGATGCAACTGGCAGGGTGGGTGCTCAGCAGGGCTGCCAACGCCTGTCCTTAAGTGTCAGGGTTATCTTGGTAAAGATAATCTGCGTGATTTGTTTCCTACATTCTGGGGAGCCCTGAAACCACTCTAGTGTGCGAATATGAATAGGAACACTGTCCTTGTGTTACTTATAATCTCCACTAGAGGGTACTGTCAGGCCACTTTAGGATGGAAGGCCCATCTCCCCTTGTTCTAAACAGAACACCCTAACAATTTGTGAAGAGCCACAGTGACAAGGCACAGTGCTGCCCTGTTACCTTGGCACAGAAGAGATGGCAATAATTGGTGCCAGGTCCCATTAACATGGAGCCCTGTCTCCTGAGTGTGCTGCCTGCTAGAGAACGTCCCTCATTAACAACCATGTGGCTCCCGGCTCTTTGCCTAGGTGGTGGGTGGTTGAGACATTCCTGCCCTTCATGTCTCCTTTCACTCGTCACCACTGTTGAGGAAAGTGTCAGCTCACCCTGCAGCAAGACAGACAAGCCTGGGGCGGCTGAGGCAAGCACTCTGCTCTCAGTAGAGCCTGTTGCGTGCCTGCTTCCCTCTGCAGAATCCACCAGGCTGGCAATAATTATTGGGACCCGAAGTGGGAGTGGGGTGGGCATTTAAAGCCCACAGGCCTTGTCTCCTCCCAGCTGCCCCCCCTGGGACTACTCTTGCCTGCCCTACACCCGTTTCCCAGTCCCAGACTGAGTCGGGTATACTTGTCCCCATCCACAGAGCCACAGCATGGGCAAAGAAGGGGTCTGTTGAATGTAGAAACCAATGGACAGGAGTCCTGGCCACACTCAGCCGGAGTGAGGAGCCCTGCCAGTGAAAGCGCTATGAGATCTGGGTCCCTCTCTCCCTGTGTCTCACCCCCTCCTGGGTATACTTGGAAGCTTAGCGTCTGCACTGAGGCCGCTCGCTTGCATTGAGATGATCACATCCTCATTGTGCTCTGTTCTGTGAGCAGCCGACCTGGAGGGCCCTGCAGGGTCTCGGCCTGCAGAAAACCACCTTGAGTTAGCACTGGGTCACTTCCTTGGGAAAAACATATTTAAAAATGTCCCGGAGTTCTTCTGTAGTCAGGATGGTTTGTCTAAAAGGGAGCCGGGTTTCTGAGCTTGGATGGGGCTCAGGGATCTTGGAAAGGAGTGCTCCTTTCCTGTTCCTCCTAGCACGCCAGGCTTGTGACATTTGGTGCTGTGGAGGGTCCTGCCTTTGGGGCTGACTACTGTCACCTGGAGGACCAATGGCTGTCACATGGCCTGACACATGGCTATCCTCATCAGAACTGTGTCAGCTGCTACACCTTGTTCTGGGACAGATTTTGATGCCTATTTTTATATATGATCCCCCAGAGGCCATATTTGGTGCCACATTTTATATACAGGCCACTATAATTTATATTACATCTCCTGATTTAATGAAGGTTTCCTGTAGATTTGTTAATTAAAATATGAGAAAACATCCATCACTGTCTTTGTGTTTCTTTGCTTTCCTCCGGCTTCTCTTACTGTGGGAATGTGCAGAGATCTCAGGGCGTGTCAGGCATGAGATCTAATTCCAGCACTTGGGAGACAGGCTGGTGTGTCTCTGGGAGTTTGAGTCCTGGTGGAAACACACAGTGAGATCGTAAACTCATTCCAGGCCTTTGGGACAGTTCAGTGTGGTGGAGGGGCACCTCATTAGCAGCCGTGAATCTGGGTACTTACTGTTTGAGCAGTGTTGATGGGCTATGTTGGTCTTGTGTCAACCTGACACACCAGAGTCCCTGGAAAGAAGAGAGCCTCAGTGCAGAAAATGCCTGGTAGGGTTAGGCTGTAGGCAAGCCTGTAGGGCATTTTCTTAATTAGTGACTGGTGTGGGAGGGCCCAGCCCATAGTGGGCGGTGCCATCACTGAGTGGTGGTTCTGGGTTCTGTAAGAAAGCAGGCTGAGCAAGCCATGGGGAGCAAACCAGGAAGCAGTGCCTTCCATGGCCTCTGCTCCTCCAGGTTCCCGCCCTGTTCAGTTCCTTGTCTTCTAATGATGGACAGTGATGCGGAAGTGTCAGCCAAGTAAACCCTTCCCTCCCCAGGTTGCTTTGGCTATGGTGTTTTATCACAGCACTAGTAACCAACCCTAGGACAGGGCCTTAGGGAAGGTGGCAGGGACCATTTGGAGCCAGTTGGCCAGACCACATTGACGTCATTTCCCTCTATCCTCCCCTACTTATATTTTTCTCAGGCTAGGTCACTGCTGATGGATTAGGAACAGGTAGCAGATGGAGTGGGTTTACGTTTCGGCTAGGCATTTGACAATATATCCTTAGGAACGAGGCAGAGATGTGGAATGGATATCACTGTAGTTAGATAAATTCCCGAGGCTGAACGCACCAGGGGAAGAGAGCAGACGGATCGGCATGTCAGCGGCGGCAGGGAAGGGAGCCTTCAGCAGCACATTCAGGAGAGCCCTGCCCTCTGCCCTCTGCCCAGCTAGATTCCACACTTGTTATTAGCGACTGGCGTGAGAGCCCAAATTGAAGCTCTCATGAACCTCGGAGGAAGTTCTTTTAGAAGGGCTGATAATTAGGATGTTCAGGAATTAGAAGTCTGCTTTAGTAGGTCGGCAGAACAAGGGAGCATGAATAAATGCAGAGCATTGCACTCGGGTCACCCAGACACCGGCATGTGACCACCAGAGACGTGCCTGTGACACGGTTTTATGAATGACTCGAGGCTGCATGGTCACACACCTTTGCCATTTGAGTCAGATTATCCTGCTCACCTAGTGAGTAACAGGGAATCCAACTCCAGTCACCTCAGGCTCTTCCCATGCCTATAGCATTGGTCGTGGGGGATCCCTCAGTCTCCTGGGGGCCAAAGTCAGGGATTTTAGTGAGGCCTTTGTTCCTTCCACTCACCAGCTATAAGACTGTCTCTCCGCTACCTGGTGCCAGGGTTCAGGACTGGAATTCACTCTGCTTCTCTTGAAGGGTTCAGGATGCCCCTTCCTGCTGAGGTACCATGGACCTGTGGGGTACACTGGTCCCTGCTACCCCATACCCATTTCTGTCCCAACTCAGGAAACTATCCTTCCTATGGTCTCTGTCCACCTCCGCCGCTCAAAGCGACTCTCCTTCCATGCCACCTAGAAGACCTTGGAAGCTCAGGGCTGGCCTACTCTGGAGCTTGAGGGGCTGGTTTGTGAATCTAGGGTATGCTGTCTGCTGCTTCTGTGTTAATAACCAAACCCACACCTGGGATCTGGTCCTAACCTCAGACTAAGACAGTTGGTGACCTTGGTGAAGGTTACGGTGACCCATGAGATGAAGAGGGAGGCTATTACAGTCCAGAACATGGAGGCAGAAGACTGGGTCATTCCTGCATTGGCCATTTTTCATAGGCTGGGCTTGAACCTGCACACCTTGTTCACCATGGGAAGAGTCAATGTGGAGACAGATAAAGGGCGTATCACAGAGATAACGGACTTCAGAAGTACTTTTGACAGTATGTGGAATGCAGAATGAAGATATAGTTGGCGGCAACTTCATTTCTAGGGCTGTGGTGTGTGTGTGTGTGTGTGTGTGCTGCATGGGTAGCAGCTGCAGCCGAGATTTTAGTTCCTCGGTGTGGGAATCATATATATATATATATATATTTTTTGGTTTTTCGAGACAGGGTTTCTCTGTGGCTTTGGAGGCTGTCCTGGAACTCGCTTGGTAGTCCAGGCTGGTCTTGAACTCACAGAGATCCGCCTGCCTCTGCCTCCCGAGTGCTGGGATTAAAGGCGTGCGCCACCAACGCCCGGCCAGGAATCATATTTTGAAGGTGTTATTAACAAACTGGATCTTGTCCAGGAAGCATTTGTAAGAAGGGTGAGGGCACATAAAACCACATTGTCCTGGGAGGAGACCAAGAGTGCTGTCTTGGGGAAAAGTGATTGGGCTGGGTTCGAAGAGCAAAACCAGGGTATGCAGGTGGGACTTAACCCAACCCCACGTTTAAGCTCTTGTGTTGAAAGAAACCTCTCTAGCCATGAGTGGAAACAGCCAGTGGGGTGTTCGGAACATCCCAGTGGGTGGTAAGTTTCCAGTAACTAGAGGCATTCAAGAGAACAAAAGATTCCCGGTCAAGAACGCCAAAGCCCAGAGTCACACCAGAGAGAGCTTGATGACCCTGGGATATGGTTGTTCTGTTAGAGACTTGCTTCCCAGACCTGCTCCTGAGGGTCGGCAACAGAGAGAACCCAGGGTATAAGGAACATGTTGACATTATACACAGACTCACACCCAAACACATGTCCAGGCTGTTGACTTCACTCTCAATGACCCTTGAGGTGAGGTGGCCGACAGCTGCTCTCCTCCATGCCCACTGCTAGTGGACTGTGAGCCTCGTGCATTACTGGCTGCAGACCATGCAGGCTGCTGCAAAAGCCATGCCTCTGGCAGGAAGCTGCACTCACTCGTGTCTCAGCCAGCTGACCCTTGTGCTTTGCTCCCTTTCAAATTAGGACAGCCCTCCCTTGGTGAATGACAAAGCCATGTCACCAGAGGGTGGTGAAGCCTGGTGAGGGGCTGAGCCTGGCTGATCAGGAGCTCACCAGCAAAGGTAGGCGGTTGTAACTGTGAGGTGCTCTCCTACCCCACAAGCTGTAGACATTCTAGAGGAGCCAGTGAATGTCTCGGTCACGCGCTCTTGACCAAGCTGGCTGGAGGGTAGGAGGAAATTGGTCTGGGCTCTGTGGTGTGATTAAAGGCATGCCCCCAAGTCCATAACGCATGCTCTAGCCACATCCTTGCCTCTGCATGTCACAGCGCAGCTTAGCATCACCCCACGGTTAGAGGTACAGCCAATTTAACAAGACAACCCCGGTATGTGTTCTGTATCTGTCTCGTTAATATGTTTATTGTCGGTGTCCACCAGCAGATGGATGGCGGGCAGGCAAGGGAGATGATGTCTGTCTCCGCACGGTGCTGGACACGACCGACCCAGGTGGGTTTCAACCACGAGTCGTGGAAAGGCTGAGGGGTGTGGGAATGGCTAGGCCCTGTGGGACAGGTCTGAAGATCCACGCTGACGTATCTCATAGCTGGCTGGCTGACACGGAGCAGTGAGGACAAGTGAATTCCACTCAGGGTTGCAAGTGGAAGGGAACTGTGCCAGTAACTCCGAGGATCTCCTAAGGTCCGGCTCATGTTTCTGGAAACCTGTGAATAATTAAGGTGTTGGATGAATGATGGAAAGAATGGTGGTGATTAAGTTGCCATTTCTTGCAAGCTCGCTGTGTGCCCGGCATTGTTCTAAGGCATAACTACGTTGTTTTAATGTTCCTAACAGCTTCATGAATAGGGTATTGAGGTCTTTTTCCGTAAGACAAAAAGCTGAGCCAAGGGAGATGATTAAACTTGCCCAGGTCTCCCAGCTAGTGAGAGAACAGTCGTTCAAACCAAGTCTGTGCCTGCTGGATTCTCTCCCATGTCCTCTTGTCCTGTCACTGCAACCTCACAGCATCCTGCACATGAGGACTCTGTCCACCAGTCTGTCCTTGGGCGTGGGAGGTGTGAGGAAGGCGAGGATTCCATCCACCAGTCTGTCCTTGGCCGTGGGAGGTGTGAGGACGGCGAGGACTCCGTCCACCAGTCTGTCCTTGGCCGTGGGAGGTATGAGGAAGGCGAGACGGATGGTGGTGGAGGCCGCAAAGGACTAGAGTCCTGCTGGCCTTCCAGTGGCCACAGTGGCCAATTAAGGTTTCTAAATGTGGCTGGGTCAGCAGTCACAGGCCAGGAAGGCAGTTCCCCTCAGGGTGAGCCAGCTGCCTTCCACATGACTTTCTAAGATGGGCAAGAGACAGCCTGGGACCAGGTGGAAGAGGTGAACAGGAGGAGGGAGAGGAACACCAGGGCCTGTTAGGAGCACCCCCGGTCTTGACACTGGTCTATAGTGTTTCAGTCTTCCAAGTGAGGTCCCCCGTGAGCATTCTGCCCCGGGCCTCCAGTCATCATCTAGGAGGCCAGCCCGATGGCGATAAAGGTAAGTCTACATGACGCTGGGTGATGATGTCAAATTTCAGTTCAGATGCTGTCCATCTGTGGTTATCGCTCAGCTCAGCTGGAGAAGAAGGTTCCACTCTCAAGTTAAATTTGGGCTCCCACACCTCCACCTGCATACAGTTTTCTCGTTTCTCCCTATTCACCTGGCCACGGGAGCAGAGCACATAGAAACAGGCCCAGTCGCTTTGCCTGCTGAGGATGCAGCCAGCTGCCAGGGGGCATTGGAGAGAACTCCAGGTCACCTTCAGAGAGTTACCTGGGGGTAGGTGATGCGGACACTGCCCCTTTGGGTGAGTGCTCTTGCATTAGGGAAAGGCAGTCGACATAATTAGCCATAGAACAGAACTGCAACGCACTGAGGGTAGCGATCATCTGCTGATTGGAGCGGATCAGGAGGGGCAGAGCTCGGGGTTCCTAGGAAGAGTTAGCTAGGAGAGTG